CCTCATCTGTACTGATTTAGTGTAATAAATAACACTGGAACTGTAGCACAGATTGATGATAACATCTCGGACTGTTAAATGAGAAATGGATTATTGACTTTAAACAACATATAATTTAGTTAAACTGAGACATGACCTTTGTGTACTTCTTTACCTCAGCTAAATGATTTGATTCGGTTCGAGTCCCACCGGAACAGATCAAAAGTGATTCTGCCAGGCTGGGAAAAATGCTCAGAGAACTGGAGGATACAGATGCTCTTCAGTTAAATTCAGGAAATGAAGAGGAAGAGGCTGTAAGATAATGAAGGTCAACAGATGGCCCAGGAATTGGTGCTCTGAGAGACATTTTAGGATGTCAGCTAGTCTGAAGCAATTGTGGAAAGAGGACTCTAGTCAGTGGATTCCTCCTGAGGACGTGGCGTGTTCAGGATTAAAACTGGGTACAAAGAGTTTTTAAAATAAGAAATGAGGCACAAGGCAGCGGAAGTTGGAGAAAGTTTTGCGATTTTAATATAAATTATGAGGGAAATCAAATAAATGGTGAGCACAACACTGAATGGAGTAATGCCAGTGGGTAAAGGGGTGCGAAACAAGGAGAAAGTGGATATGTCTACACAAGACACTAAATGCACAGTGGATTAATTTTACTGCGCATTAGCACGTCATGACAAAAGCAGTGCTAATGCACTAATCCACAGTAGAATTAGCCTACTGTGCATTAGCGTCAGAAAAAAAGACGTGCCAGCACTACTGTGCAGTAGCACTGATTACTGTGTATTTAGTTGAGTACCTGTGATTACAGGTACTCAACTGAATGCTGAGTAACCACCGCACATTAATGGATGTGTAGACATGCCCAGTAAGAAGTAAAATTACTGTTTACAGCAGTCGCGAGGATGAGGGAAGCAATACAATTAATGAATGAAAGACTATCCCCATTCTATCTAGGAAATTGAAGGAGAACTGCTGAAATGTTTGTGCACTCGTGTAAGGATACTTTAACAAAATCTAGGAACTAGGACTACCATTGCAGGATGCCAAGGCAAATATTGTAAGATAAGAGACGTGTAAAAAGAGCAGTTCTGGCTGGACCACAAGTATTGAAGGATATGCTCTGTTTTAGGAGAAAAATAAAGGTAAAAAAGATGATGGGAAATACTATATGTTAATGAGAGGCTGTAAACAAGTGAGAAGGAATAACATGGATAAAATGGCTTCTTTGGCTCACTGATTTTTGGGAACAAAAAAGTAAAGGAGGTTCTACTACAGAAGAATTAGACATCAAAAATGATTTGCTATAGACTCCTAATGATTGGATTTGGATATACTGAGACTTCTGTAGTGTTATAACAGAGAAAGAACAGATGCTGCTAAAAATTGTCATTTTTTTTGGATCAAAAGTCCTTGGATCTCACAGAGGAAGACTAAGTCAATTGCTTGAGTTCATGCACAATGTTAGTGGCAGAGTAAAGAATTGAGTCTCCCAGGTTTTGGGCTTGTACCTTTGCCCACTTAGCCATCTCTCCTCCCTGTTTACAATGGCAAAGTTCGGTTATTGTTGGAGGTGATAGCCAATATACTTTTAATTTCTCACTACATAGTTACTATACCAACAAAAGAAGGAGGCTTAAGAAGTCTTGCTTTCAGTGAAGTCAGTATGTATAAGGAAAAAGTGAGAGCCAGATGGAAATTTAAAGGTCCATTTACTCATAGAAATAAAGAAAGGAAGAAATAGTGCTTCAGTCTATACATTGAGGACAGGGGAAGTAATCTTGATCCAACTCAAAACCAAATGAATATTTTGTTTCAGTTTTCAATAAAGACGATGGTATTGGATGTGGTGCAAAGGCAGGGCAAATGAAAATGGTAGTGGGAAATGGAAATCACCACAGATGAGGTGGAAGCAAAACTCATAGACTTTTGTGTTCAGGTTGGGAGATAATATCTATCGCAAAATGTGAAAGAACTGACACTTTGAAATTGTAATGCTGGGGGACCAAGGATTTTAAAAATTTTTATCAAGCAGTGATTCTATCTGACTGAAGAATAACACATATGGTATCTTGATAAAGAGAGGAGGTAAAAGGTGATCTGGGCAAATATAGGCCCAGTAGTTTAACCTCAAAAGACAAGTCTCTAGAACAAATTTTGAAGGGAAGAATAATTAAAAATAAAAAGGGGTAAAATGAAAATGGGAAAACAAATAACATGGATTTACCAAAGGTAGATAATAACAGAAGTACTGGTGAGATCTCATCAGGAATACCATGTACAGTTCTAGTCTTACACATATTCAAGAAAGATTAATTCTAACGGGAACAGATGAAAACGAGAGCTTCCGGGATCATCGGAGGAGCAGAGAACCTGTCTGACAAGAGGAGGCTAAAAGCTTGCAGTATTTAGCATAGCAGAATGAATGGACAGAGAGGAAGTCATTATCCCTCTGTTGTATTCAGAGAAAGTAAGCACCCTGGGGGAATGGAAGGGAGGAAAAGAGGACTGTTTAATTAGAGGACATTGCTGGCCCCAGAACAAATGTGCATCAACTAGCAGTGAAAGAATTTAGGCAGGAAATTAGGCTGTATTCTGATAATCAGCAAAGGGAAGTACTGGAACAGCCTTCCATTAGGAATAATGGGGGCAACAACTTAATTAGTTTTAGTAGGTTGTGAAAAGTTTGCAAAAGTGATTTTAGGACTTGGTTGCCTCAAACAATAGATCCTGATACTTAGATGCTTCCAGTGTCCTGTCACATGTTTTTTAAGTTCCTTTACATTAACAGCCTTAATCCAGGTATGGTAATGTAAGGTAGATGTGCTTGCTAGTCTCGGTCAGTCACCATTTATTAAACAAGCTGTTACAGTGTGCATTTGGATATGCCATAGACTGTACAAAAAGGGTGCGTTAAATTATTTCTATTAGTAATTATGCATGGTTAATCGACCCAGCACTCAAGAGAAGCTGGTTATTCCTCCAGTAAGGAGACAAATATGCAGATTTTCCTGCCCATAGTTAGGTTGCAAGTCAATGATGAAAACAGGGTTAGAGAGCAGTTGTTTCTGGATCTCAGTTTTGCTTTCTCCACTGACCCATACTGTCTTTTAGTTGATGATTAAGAAATGGGGGTTAGGATGAGCTGTGCTCTCCTACTTTTAGGTTCAGTGGAATTGGACTATTTCACTTCTGTTGCTTTAGTCATCTGGAGCACCATTACCTATGCAGTATTTATTGTGAAGCTGCAGGGTTGAGACTATGTAATTTATGGATAGGGAAGTCAGTACTGCTAATTTCAAGTAGTAATCAAATTATAGGTGTGCAAACCAAGATGATCTCAGTAAAGAAATAACAAACTCAAAAAGATATTGGAGACCAGATGGAAATCCAGATAGAAAAATCTATAATAGGACATAAAGATGCAAATTACCCAGAGCAGAGTTTTTCCACATTTAAATGTAGTTCCTCATGTCATAAAGAGATATATACATAAAATACAATCTGTTAAAGTATTTGTATTGAAATCACAATTTCTAAGCAGAAGAACTTGGAATGCTTTCAGAATCAATGAATATGTATGTCATTGTTACCTTTTGTGCAAAGATACAAAGGAAGGTGGCAAAAACTCTGTTTGGTGTGTGAAGTCACAATTTTACATTTAACATCATTGTCAGGGTTTTTTATATGAACGTATATGAAATTATATCCATTGTACAACCCATTAAATAGACAGCATTAGAGTAGGTTACGGATAATCTTTAAATGGATATGGGCCCTTATTTAAGTCAATGGAAAACTTTCCATTGTATTCAGTGGATGCAGGTCTTTCTCTACCATTAATCCTCTGAAGGATTAAAGGTAATTGTGCCTCTGAAGCAGAAAGCCTGGCAGGAGGGCCTGTAGATGGTTCTGGACAGCATCTCTTCAGTGAATCATAGATAGACAAACAAAATAGCCTCTTGTCCTTATGCTAATATAGTTCAGTGTAAAAAGAAAACTATTCCTGAAAATTTCTCAGTGATTGTCATATTATCAAAAAATGTCAAGATCAAAGATCAGCTTGATTCTAGATGACCCATTGGACTAGCATGGTGAGAAGGCATCCTAGTTTCTGTATTAATGATACACAAAGGAGTGATGTAGTCACATCAGGCTGCCTATGACTTCCCAGCTGAGCAAGCAGAATACCCATAACAAGACATCGTAACTGCTCTGCCATTGCACCCGTTACTGGTGTGATAAACCCTATGTAATTACTGGTGGACAGTAAACATCAAGAATGACCATTTAGGAAATCATCTCTACATTGCAAAATGTGTTGATTTAACCTTATTTATGTGACTCTTAGGCTCCTATCCTTTATTTCTTCTTCACAGTCCCTCTAAGGTGCCATTTACCCTACCTTCTGCCTGCCTTCAGACTAACATGGTTTATCACCTCTCTGCACTCCATTTTTTCTCTCTCCCATACTATATTCAGGCATGCTTGGAGTTGGCTTGGCCTTCCCCTAGAGTACATAATTGGAACTGGAGTCATCAATCCTGGCAAAGGCCTGTATAGATCTCAGAAAAGACAGACAGTGTCTGTTCTAGCAGCCGGTACTGCCTATAGATAAATTAGAGCATATATGCAAAAATGAGATTGCTTATCTCTCTCTATATATACACACCAGAAAAAAATCTAGGAACAGCCAAGGGTTTGGTTGAATTTAACCCTATGACATTGGTTTGCAACCTGTGGTCCGCAGACCTCTGGGTGGCCACAGACTACGTCTAAGAGGTCTGTGAAAGATGACTATTATCAATCAAAAGTATGAGAATACCTGCACTAATAATTCAAAGTGTCTGTACCTCTATTCAGAATTTCCCAAGAGGTCTGCAAATGAAAAAGGTTTAAAACCAATGCCCTAAGAGCTATCAAAGGAACAGTAAAATAGCATGCATCCCAGTTCTCAAAGGAAGGGAATCAGGAGGGACTAAAAATAAACAATGTAGAACATTATTCACATGTTGGATGGTAGCCATGGGATCCTACAGGGATGTGCTCTAGGGAAGAGGGTGGCAGAGATGATTTCTGTTGCTCTCTTTGAGCAAAGGATATCTGTGTCTAACACTGCAGAGAATGCCAATTATTAAGTAGCTTATTTAATTATTAATAGAGCTGATAAATATTTAAACATGACCTAAGTACCTGCAAAGCTTTAACATTTAAAATTAAGCTAATTCTCAGCTACATTAAACTAGATCCTAGTCCTTTGGCTCCTTCTCCTGGCAACAGTTTAGCACCAAACAGGCAGATAGGACCCTCTGATGTAGGGTGAATTCTAGCAGAATGTCAGTCTTGACCCTTCTCCTCCTCTCCCCTACAGCATGACAGGATTTCCTGGTGGGCAGTTACATGAGCATGTAAAAGAGCAGGATCACTAGCAATCTGTGACCACCAGAGGAGTCCCCAAGAGACTACCCTAGCCCATTTATCTTCAAAGCATCCTTTCAGCCACACTAATTTAGGTCAATCAAGCTATAGATTGGGCAGGTAGGTAGATGCCTTAGACCCACATTTTCCTATCACCATAATTTGGTTTTGCCTCAGGCACAGATTGCTGATCTCAGGGTTCCAGCCTAAGAGATCAAAAAGTTCAGAAATCAGGTCCAGATTTTTTAAATATGTTTAAAGCAGGACATTTGTGATTCTTTTGTCTGGGAGAAAAACATGTAAGGAAATGTCTAATCCTATTTAAAATGCAAATGCCAATGTTACAAACACCTTGATCACCAAGTTTAAATGGAAAGAGAACATTTCCCAGGGTTTAAACACTGTGAACACTCCTGCAATGTCCTGATTTAGAACATTAGTAGCACACTGTTTGAAAGACCTTCAGTAATGAAGTACCAGAGTTGATCTCACATTAGTTGGACTAGAGGGTCTTATCTGTCTGATTAACTCCAGAGGAGCCAGCAGAAGTCAGTAGAATTCTCTGAGATTTATATCAAAGGAAATGAATTTGACAAAGTTTGGTCACTGTCAAGCATTGCTTTACTTCTGCCTGGTTTCAGTAGCTGTGGGTCTTGCCATGACAAAGATTGCCTTTGCTTTCATCAAAGGTTAATTATTCTATAGAAGTTGAGTAAAGTAAGTGGTACTGCTGAAGCTACAGTTAGTTGCTAGATCCTTGCTGAGCAACAAATGAATATTTTTTACTAAGCCCCTTATGTGATATTTATGTCCTGTTCCTCAACCTAAAAATAAAAGGTTATTGAATGGAAGAATTGGGATACACTTATCATAGAATCATAGAATCAATCATAGAATCAATGAGTTGGAAGGGACCTAGACAGATGATCGAGTCTGACCCCCTGCCATGGGCAGGAAGGAACACTGGGGGTGGGAGGGGTCATAAGACCCCAGCCAGGTACCTATCCAGTCTCCTCTTGAAGATTTCCAGGGAAGGTGAGAGCACCACCAGTCTGGGAAGCCTATTCCAGGCTCTGGCCACCCTTACAGTGAAGTAGTTCT